TCTAGCCCGGGCAACAGAATGAGACTCTGTCTCAAAAAACAAAAACAAACAAAAAACAATAGTTTCCTAAAATCCCAGGGTTTACAGGAATCATTCTTTATATTCATTTATATTCCTTGTAACATTTCAACCCCTGAAAGAAAGCAGGAGAAGCACAGACCTGTGTGGGAACTCCCTTTGTAAATTTATGTAGACGCTAATAAAACCAGCCAATGCTGGTCTCAGCAAATGAAGAGTTTACTGCTTAGTATGTGGCACATGCTCAATATATATTTTAACTTTGCAGAACTTTCCTGTTCTGCCAAGAATAGAAATTCAGAGTAGAATGGATTTTAGGTGTCTCACAAAGATCTCTGGATGTCACTTTTAGATTTAGAAGACATTAACTTACAGCCTTGAACAAAATAGTCTCATTACCTGAATTTCTTCAACCACTGCTTTGAACTGCAGACTACGTTCTGTCATGTTTTTAACCAATTCCATTGCATTATCAAATCCCTTCACATATTCTCCATACATCTTAAGGAATGGCGCCAATTTCTGAAGGATGTCTCCAATTCTAGGAGTAGTTTCCCTATATTAAATATAGAAATAGGTCATTAAGATTGTGTACAGATAGAATGAGCAAATTAATAGGATTCCAGATGAAGCAGAATCACTTTCTACACACATCCTGTGCGTTAGCAGATCCACCTTGCCATAACACTGAAAGTATCTTTTGAAAGGGGGTTTAGGAATAGCATAGCAAAAAAAGATGCTACGGAATTCTTGAAGGTCCACATTACCTGATATCTTGTCATGGTAAGTCAAAAGATAGTTTGGAAAGCAGACATGAAATCCTTTTCATCAAAGCTGAAAATGTACCACAACTTCTATCAGTGGTCTTTAATGTAAAAATTTAGCACAGATGTCTAGCTACAGCTATCGTGTGGCATTTGTATTTCAATTTAATAGCTGAAAAATACAGCATCTTGTATGACTGTCTCTGACACATCATTTGCTGCTCTACTTCTCTTACCATTCTTGCATTCGTTTCTCCAGCTCTGGCAGTAGGAATTTACTGTGGAAGGCATTTATTGATGAAATATTTGAAAAGATTTTATTCACCATCTCTGCTGGAAATGAGCCTCGGTTTGCTTCTTCCAATAGTTTACAATAAAATACCTGAATAAGAGAATAAAACAAACATTACCTCCAATTTATTGGTTAACCACCTAGCATTGTGCTAGGCACATAGTAGGTTCTTAGTAACTATTTGTTAAATAATTGGAAAAGTTCATGGTTGAAGAAATCAATTACTATTTGAAATGTAGGAGTGAGTATACGCTTTGATTTAGAGGAAGCAAGAATAAGAATTAGGAAGCTTTGATTCTAACCTAGGACATGCCCCTACCTGTAGGAATGTTAAGATAAATGATTTACCTTCTCTGTGCCAGAAAGTTTCCAGTTGAGGTTAATAGGATTTACCCTTCCTATCCACAGCTAGAGTTAAGAGATGGGAAAATACTTCACATATACACAATAATTGTGGTATTTTTCACTTTATGTTTCAAATGACATCTATGGCACTTATTACATACTGCCCTTTATTGTCGCTTGTTAACGTAAATCTCATTTTTCCTCTTAAAATCGTATGCTCTTTGGGAAGGGGGGGATATCATGATTTAGTTCCTATAACAGAACAGGTATTTAATATCTGGCCAATGAATGAACAAAAGAATATTTTAGTTATCAGATGTTTACTTGCTTTTAGGAAATAGTAATGCAAGATAACTTAAAACATTGATATGGAGGGGGAAAAAAAAACTTCTGTACATAGTAACAGGTACCTAGAAGACAATTTAAAAAAAAAAAAAGAAACTTGCAGTCTTAGTTATTCTCCACTATGGCTACTATACCTCTTAATTGCCATTGTTAAGTATAGGCAGAAGGAGGTCTGCTCCTTCATAATGTCCAGATGGTTGTTAATTTTCTAAATTCACCTCCATTGCATTTTCTTGGGAGGCAAAAAGAACACAAAATTATGCCCTCAGAGACTCCAATAGATAGGATACTGTAGTAATTAAGACTCTAAAATTCTAAAGGGTCAGCCACAGAAGCTGACAAGTTATTTGGCTAACAAAAACCATACACCTTGATAAAGCAGAAAAGACATATCTCCACTATGGGAATACCTAAAAGTTTCAAGTCTGTAATTCCATGAGAAAGAAAAGTTGTTTCTAAGTTATAAACTTCACATGATTTGATTCTGACTTACGGTGAAATTCCTTGAAAAATGAGTATTTGTTAGCCATAAAGTCATTATTTCAAAGAACACAATGCTTAAACAGGCTCCTCAGGGCTCACCCTAGCAGGCATGTCATTCACTCTTGGATCCAATGATAAGGAGGTGAACCTCCCGAATCCATGAAATTTCAGTTTTCCAGCGGCAGAAGTGGGACAATTCTTCTTACAGTTAACACTCAAACATGGCAGCTTTCTCTTCTAACAAGGAGTCTGTATTAGCAGATTATCTACCAATTGTCCTGTTCTCTATTGCTGAAACAGGATTAAGATGCCTTAGTTTTCAAGTTATTCTTATGATGCTTTTTTAAACTTTCCAAATGTATATCTGAAATGATACTCAAGGCTCCACCATGATGAAGTACAAAATGTGATAAAGCAGACTTATGTATTCAACAGATACTGACTGGACAACTTTATGCTAGGCACTGTATTAAATGTTTCATACAAAGTTGAACAAGTGAACTCTCAAAATCCCTTCTGGCCCTATGACTATACCAGCTGATATCACTCACGTGGTGCTGAACAGCAAATGAGATGAATAGCATGTGAGCACTGCAAACACCAATATCTTATCTAGATTAAAATGGGAACATGGCCCCAGGATTACAATCAAAGGTCAAGAAGCACTCTAGTGTTTAAGGTTACAGGGCACAGATAAAGGCATTTTGTGACTCATACAGACAGAAACTTCTACTCTTTATGAATTACAAAAATGCTTATACCTAGTGAATTCACTGAGGAAGCTAAAAGTGCTAGAGACTTCCTTCAACAAGTAGTTTTCATTAGTCAGAAACAGGTCCCTCTTACAGTTTCTAAAACACTTTAATCACTAGGTTAAAATGATGCACAATGTCAAAACATAAAATAATTCTGAAAAAGAAAATATTACCTGATCTAAGAGGTCGAGTCGGTTAACATAAGCTCTTTCTGTAAGCAAAAGTTCATTGGCTATTTTGTGAAGTTTTTGCTCATTCGTCTCCTAAAAATAGAACAGATATGTACACATCAGGAAAGTAACCTTGGCCAATATTTCTCAAGTAATAAACATTTCTTCAAATGGTCTAATCGAAAGAGTCTTCTCAAGCTTCTCAGGTACCCGACTGCCTCTAGCCATCGAGGAACATCCAACCAGAAATTAACAAAATTGGAAACGAGCAATCTGCTAGATTTAAACTACAGCTTCTTCTTTGACCTCTGCAGCAGTCCACACTACATCCACCTTTTCCTTGAAATACCTTTTCTCTTTTTCTGTTCCTAGCACTATACTTTCCTTGTTTCCCCCTATCTTTGTCAGGCTACTCTTTGGAAATGATTTCATCACTCTCTCAGTTTGTTTAACTATTAGCTCCATGCACCTAACTTTTTGCCTTACGAAAATATTTTATTATAAAAAAGTTCAATTATATGTAATAGTAGAGAAAATAATAAGATGATGAACACCCATGTGTCTATCACTGAGATTCGGCAACTATCAACTCATTGTTAGTTTTGTTTTACCTGTGCTCCCCCTCACCTCTACACCCATATTACTAATACTTTGAATTAAATCGCACTTTATTATTTCTTCAGTATATATTTATTTTGTCCTTAAATATAGTTGTGTAACCTTGGTAGTTTCATGATGATAAGAACACTTCCTCTTGTTAGCTGCTCTATATCCTGTTTTCACTACAATGCTTCAATAAAAACACATTCAGTATAATATTGCTGAATGAATGGATGAATGAGTAGCAGTCTCACATACCTAACTATTGCTGGATGTTTATTACTACTTTGACATGCTGTCAACACAAGACCAAACTCACCTTTTCTGGAAAACCTCTACCCTACCACCAATTCCTAAACTTTCCCATCCTGTTAACGGTACTTCCTTTTCTAGTTACCCGGTTTTGGAATCTTGAATTACATTAGCTTAGTTCTCTACCATGACACACAGACAGCCACCAAGTCCTACTCATCATATTATGTCTTTAGAATTTATTCTTTAAGTTCTCATTAGTGCCACCCTGTTTCGCTCAATTCGTCTTAAGCCCAGGCCAATCAATAGTTTCCAAATGATCTGATTCCAGTACTTTTTGGCTTTAACCCACCCTACATATTGCTGTATGAAGAATCTTTCTAAATCTCTGCATTGCACACATAATCCTACTTCCCACAGGGGGGGAAAAAGCCTTATTCAGTAGTCCTCCTCTCATTGACGGGATAAAATCTAGACTCTATGTACCATTCAGGGTTATTCAAACCTCTACTCACCTCCTCAAACTTCTCATTGTATCCTTTAAAAATTATATACGTGTGTGTATATTATATATTTTTTGTTGTTTTTAAGAGATGAGGTCTCACTATGTTACCCAGAGCTCAAACTCCTCAAGCAATCCTCCTGCCTCAGCCTTCGAAGTAGCTGGGACAACAGGCACGCACCATTGCAATCAACTTCTCATTTTATTTTTACAGGCAGCTGTCCCTCCAAACACACCAATAAAATGCATGTTTGATTATTATCCTAACATGTCCCTGGCCATCCCCAAACCTTTCTCCTTTCTATCCTCTCAGCTTGGCATATGCTCTTGCTGTATCTGAAACTTACTTTCCTTTTGACAGCCTGCTGAATTTCCATTCCTTGTTCTTGGAGACTTTCACTATTCAAGGACCTTGGGCTTGGTCCCATTAAAACTGACTTTATATTTCATATGTAAATCTTTACTTTGAGAAATTACTACCTAGTACTTTGCTGAAATACCCTTTCACTGTAGGAGATTATGAACTACAATTAAGATTTTAGGAAAAACTCTAGTAGCAAAGTAGACCAAAGTATATTTTAAGCCAGTGTCTAATTTTTTGTGTATAAACACATTTTAAACTGTGTATAGGCCGGGCATGGTGGCTCAC